CATTTAACAGTTGTGTTGTTCGTAGAACGGTTGCATTGTTCGTGAAACATTCGTGTTGTTCGTTGAACAATCACGTTCATTTAACAGTTGTGTTGTTCGTAGAACGGTTGCATTGTTTGTGAAACATTCGTGTTGTTCATTGAACAAACACGTTCATTTAACAGTTGTGTTGTTCGTAGAACGGTTGCATTGTTTGTGAAACATTCGTGTTGTTCATTGAACAAACACGTTCATTTAACAGTTGTGTTGTTCGTAGAACGGTTGCATTGTTTGTGAAACATTCGTGTTGTTCATTGAACAAACACGTTCATTTAACAGTTGTGTTGTTCGTAGAACGGTCGCATTGTTCGTGAAACATTCGTGTTGTTCGTTGAACAAACACGTTCATTTAACAGTTGTGTTGTTCGTAGAACGGTCGCATTGTTTGTGAAACATTCGTGTTGTTCGTTGAACAAACACGTTCATTTAACAGTTGTGTTGTTCGTCGAACGGTCACATTCTTCATTGAACAGTCGCATTGTTCGGTGAACGGTCGTGTAAGACTGAGGACGCTATTCTAAACATGGTATACTAATAGCGAGTTCTTATTACGTTGGTGCAGCAAAATGGTGTCAAAGTAGTGTCGTTTCTTCGAGATTGCACTTTGATCGGGTTCGCCTGTTAATCTCGCCGTCTCAATATTATTATTGGAGCGTGGTCTGTATTTCACCGCGCCATCTTGTGTGTAAGTTTACGACGTTACGACGCATGTTTAGGCCAAAGCACATGTATTGCTTCGCTGGGTGCATACCTTAACCAGTGTCGTACCGACATACACACCGCAGTATTGCAGACCGCTGGTAAACTCAGCAATTGCTTTAGTTAATTAGTTAATTAGTTTAATTAGCAATTAGGGCGATTGATTAACGATTAATAAATGATAAAGATAGGCTTCCTTGCAATGTTTGACTTCATGTAATAGACACACGTGAATGTGTAGAAAAATTCCCACTGGTAAGCAATTAAGGTCATTGATAATTAAAATAAACGGCAGAGATAGGCTTGACTAGCAACTTGATAGGGCAACGCTTGACTTGATGTAATAGACAAATGTGTAGAAAAATTAATCGAATCGTTGCCCCGGTTTCTATTCTATCGATTCTAGTCCATGTCATGCAATGCTGTCAGTAGATAACCGGTATCTTGGGTAGACACGAATTTCGATATTTCCACATAACGGTATTTGTGGGAACGTTGCTAGAAAGTGAATTGCAATGACATGGAATACATCGACATTTAGGTTTTAATTGCAGTGCTTCCGATGGCCGTATATAGTCCTTGCAGCGAGATTTCGCCGCTATTTGGTGTTAACGAGCGTTTATCGATTAACGAGGAATTAATTCTAACGCGCGCGAGTCTTGAGTTTGACATGGTTGACGACGATTCTAGTTGAAGACAAGAATAAAGTTTTGTTTTCGTGAATTGTTGTCTTTGTTTGTTTCGATCACCGGTTCACATTTATGCTTTGCTGGTGTCTAGCCGGAACAGGCTCTACAGGCCTCAGTGTTTCCCCTGCATTGACACGAGTGAGGCGGGCCACCTCGCTCAAATTCTCAGCCGCCACACAGAAATTTGTCCAAAACACCGCCTCACTGACGAAACTTTTGACAACTTGAAAAAGAGATGCAAGTCTCATGCAATGTGTTCAAAATAGCTTAGAATGCACCAAATTGCATTTTTCCAAAAATGTCCTGCGGGGGGGCATGCCCCCGGACCCCCTAGCTTGGCCAGCACCTGTGCTGCTCGCTTTGCTAGGACCTCGAAACGCGCAAAGACATCACAAAAAAACATTTACCACCTCACAGACCTTTTTTGGCCAGGGGAAACATAGGGTCTGTTTCATATACCCTTTCCCCCACGTAGTGAGAAGCGAGAAGGCAACTTGTGGCAGGCTGGTAATGCGTTTGGGTGAGAGAATTATCTAAAGGAATGTACAAGATGAAAGAATATAATAAACCATAATATAATACATAATATCATATATACTATAGTATACTATACCTAGAATGGAATATATATGGCGGCCGCGTGCGCCTTTCCGCGGACTAGCGCCAAGATCCATCTCAGCGTTAGGATCACACATCCTGTCAGGAACACTCCTCTGGTATCTCCCGTCTCAATCTGGATGGTTGGACCTCACGTAATTTCGGTAAGCCGCAATTTTTGGACGGTTTTCATGATCACACTGGCGTTATAGTCGTGTAAAATTTATATAATGAGCCGATATCAATGCACGTCGTTCACTCTCGACGCAACTGCTGCATGCATACACATACGTGTGACATCACACGACCGTTCACAGTTCCATCTCAGCAACAGAATGAAGAATAAAGCTTGTTTTCGAGAATTGCCAATTTTTATTTTCTTATCCCACTAGTAACGCTATCATCGCACGCAAGCAACACGGATCGTGATTGGGACGTAAAGACATGTAAAGCATTATCTCCGGCGAGAACTTGTGTTTTTCACTTAATTTATCAAATGAATTTTATTACCGAAGTACCGTCTTATGTCAATATATAGGCTACTGCGGAGCGCGAAAGAAAACAATATACCGGGAACACTCGCATTACGGCGCGGATGCCTTACATTACGTCGCTCGCTTGTTTCTATTTATGTTTCTATTCTTCGCACGCGGGGACACCTCACATCTTTCTTGTTTATTGCAGTAGAACATAGCTTTTTTACGCCACAAGGGCCTGCGTCGCACATAATTTTATCCGTGGTAAAAAATCATTTACAATGCAGTACAGAATTTTTTTTTCAGAGTAGCGATGCCACACCATAAAGGGGGAAGCGTCACATCGTGTCAATCGCGTCATTTCTATCTTTCACTCGCGCGCGTGAAAACACCTCACGCGTCATTTCTATCGTTCGCGCGTGGCGCGTGGCGGGTGGCGCCTTACATGTTGTCAACACAGGAGGACTGTAATTTTTTCCAAGGACTTTTCAAGGACATTTTATCGGAAATTCAAGGACATTTTACAGGCATTTTATCGGAATTCATACACGAGAACAAAAACATACCTGAGTAATTTAATAACCCATTCTATCACTGCATGTCACCTCTAAAACTTACCTGGAAATCACATTAATAAACCGCTTCTAAACACTGTCACTTCTCAACAACCTACGCTTGATTTACTGACTGATTTTCAC